TACGGGGCCCACAGTAAGGATAACCTGGCGGTGCCCAACTCCTTTCCAAATAACATGAAAGTTGTATTAAATTACATGGTACCTGTAGGAGGAAGTAACACTGACCCCAGCTGAAATTTGTATTCGGTTCTTCTTCATCTTTAGGTACCGTGTCCTTTCAGGACGTAGGCATTCATAGCTTTCCATAGTTTTCTATCCTTTCTAGCCCCAAGAAATGTTTGGTCTCTTACCATCACTCCCAGCCCATGTTCTGCCATCCATTTACAAGTTCGCTCTGTCGGTTACTCGCTGTTTCCCTCTTGCCTTTAATGTCCTGTGAGTGTTAAATTCTCCAAGTCCTCTTTCCTCATTATGTGTCACAGAAAGTCAAAAATCTGTCTGTAAATATAATTTTACTTGTAATTTCCATTTTTTTTTTAAAACGTTCACGTTGCCTACATGTTCCGTCGATAATATTTCCAGCCTTCTTCTGTAGAACGGCATCTCTGTCGCTTCAAGTCTCAGTTATGCGACATTTCGTTTGTTGCAAAGGGGTTGTAAGGTGGAAAATAATTTGTCACCCAAGAGAACACAGATGCTTTTGAACTCTATCGAGACTAGAAAATGAGTACTAGATAACTCCTGCCCGAATATGACAGGAGTTCTCCATTTTAGACCTGATCTGGCTCTTGTAAAAGTAGAAGATAGTATGCGGAGTCAGATACTTACTAGAACGGTACAAGGAACCGCCCATTTTTCCTGCATCTTTAGCGATAGACTGTATGTACGATTTCCACTTGAGGTCTGGGTTGAGTTTAAGATTCAATAGTCGTTCAAGTCACGGGGTCTCCCTGATGGGACATCCGTTCACCATGAATAAGACTATTGATATTATATTGCAGTTAAGCACTATTTTCTTTCTTTAGGGTCACCTCGAGGTGGCGTAATGGTTAGCAAGCTTGGCTCGCTAGAACAATTACGACTGAGTAATGAGTTCGATCCTCACTGGGTATCCCCTAATTTCGTCCTTGTGCCACATCTAAGCTACGCTTGGAAAATTACTATTTTCTTTCTTTATAATGTAGTGTATAAATGTCCATTTAATATGTATTCACTGCCATATAAAAGGATTGGTATTACATAGCAATTCAGCACTTTTTTCTTTGTTTCTGGTGTGTGAAGTCTTTACTTCATCTGTGAGGAGGTTATCCAACAGTTACTTCCATATAAGACCGTCTGTGAGAAAAACATTACATTACAGTTAAGAAATCTTTTTTTGTTTCTGTTACCTCAAGTCTCTTTAAGGAAATTTTCCAGTATTTACTGCCATATTATAAGAGAACTGATATTATATAGCAATTATGCGCTCTTTGATTCTGTTGTGTCAAGTCTCCTCTTCATCCGTGAAGAAACTGTCTAGCATTTATTGCCATATAGGATATTTGAGCACTTCATTATAATCAAGAGGGTTGCAGTCTGGGGAGTTAGGAGGATAGATGTAAGGGATGATGTGGTCGCAGAAATTATCTGACAGCCATGCCTGGATTCTCCTTCTTAGTGGCATGGCGCAGAGTCCTGTTGCGAGACATAGGGTCTTCTATCAGCCACCCTCTTGACCCAGAGCAGCACTACCTCCTCAAGGCACTTGATGTAGGCCTCTGTTTTGAGTCGGAATCCCTTACCAACAAATTTGGGAGTTCTTTTCTTATCAGAATGCGTTTTCAGAGCTGCTGTATCTTCATAGTCACCATTAGACTCTTCGAACTCTTTACAAATTCTCTGCACTGTCCTCAGACTGACACCCAAACACTCTCAAATGTTTGTAATGGAGCTTCCGGCGCGAATGCCAAGCAATACAGCATGCCGTTTCCAAATTTCTGGCGGAGTGAATTGCGTCATAAGTGCTCTTTTTTCTCACAGACGGTGCCAAACTGACACTACTATACTATGCAGACGATAAAATCAAAAAGCATCAACGCGCATGCGCAATATTAAAAAAAATAAAATGGCGACAATTTACCCATCACACACTGTAATTGTTTGTTTTGTTTTAATTATTCTATTAATGTTAATACATGCTTCAAGAGCCACTCAAGGTAGAGGGGTACTGAATATGGTGTGTGATATGAATGTATGAGGAAAGAAAATGAGACTGAAGAACACATTTTCTTTATTAAGATTTCTTGAGTGTGCAAGCCGATAGGCGTAATTAAAAAATGTTTAAAATAAAAACGGGGTGTCTATTTCAAACACGGACATCCACTAATGATAACATTTGAGGTAATATATATATATATATATATATATATATATATATATATATATATATATATATATATATATATACTAATCAATAGAAACAGAAAAATATACTTGCGTCTTTCTGGTTTTGAAATTTTGAGACGACACTACACTGAAGAGGTTCGATGTCGAAAGTTTCTCGAATATTCCGAAAGAAAATTCTGATGCCCATTTAATCTGGTCGGGTACTTTTCAGTTCCTCCTCGTGTATCTATCTATCTATCTATCTATCTATCTATATATATATATATATATATATATATATATATATATATATAGTCTATTTAAGTGCTCAGTTTTGGGGATATAATTTTAGTACACGGCCTGATGATTACTGAAATCGTAAAAATGAGTGTTACTATGTAAAGTTGATTCCTATGTTCACATTTCTTCCATGTGTATATACAGACGCACACACGTGTATATATATATATATATATATATATATATATATATATATAGATAGATAGATAGATAGGGAGAGAGAGAGAATTAATGTATTTATTTTTTTAATCCGACATTTATTACTTCAAACATTATTATAGTAGAAACTATAAAATAAAACTAGAATTTTCTCGAATACATAATATACACTATTTAATAAATAAAATGTAGCGTCTATTTCAAATGAAATGTATCCACTATAATAAAATTAGAAGTATATATATATATATATATATATATATATATATATATATATATATATATATATATATATAAAAGTATCCACTATAATAAAATTAGAAGTATACTGGTTATATCCGGGCAGCAACTGTTCAATTGAAGTCATTTCGTTGAAAATAGATATGTCAATTACATTTTGCAATTAGCCTTTTTTTTGTTGAATTTTCGTATATTATTATTAAAAAGTATATAGAAACTATGTACTCTTAAAGAGAAACTATTATATATATATATATATATATATATATATATATATATATATATATATATATATATATATTGAACGAATGCAGCACCCTGTTACTGTGTGTGGGTTTGTGGGTGTGCCGTCGTTGTTCGGAAAGATAGCACAGTTTTTGCCTACTGCTTGATGTTTGATGTAGTTACGTAATATCTTACCGGCGCCACTAGTCGGTGTTCAATCGCAGATAAAAACGAGGATTCCGAATAAATAAAATAGTAATGACATTTCATAAATCCAACAACACTGGCTTGAATATTTCTGCCGTATTCTTAAGGACACCGTATTTCTTTCGTATCCCTTTCCATCTGTCCCTTCCCAAGTAAGGACATTTCTAAATCACCCAATCCACATTCTTCTGCTTTTATGTGCCGCGTACTCTTGCGACGTGGGCGATCATGGCTCTCCGCAACTTCCTATCTTTCGCAGCTCTTAGCCAGGATTTCTTAACCCTTTTTTCCCTTGTGGCCCATTTTTGGTGTCATAAAACATCCCAGGCCTGCATAAGCACAAACAGAAATTCTATGCAACAGGGAATACATTTACAAAAGCAAAATGTAGTAGAAAATATAAATCCAGACTAATGACGACATTGCTGCTGGTGTCTGTCTGTCAGCTTGTCAAGGTGAACTTCTAAGCCTTGTTCCAAGCGTAAGTCTCCTCTCTTCTCAATCTGCAATTAATTTTCCTTCAGCCAACTCCTGACCCACTTTTAAAAAATTATCAGGCCCACTTGTGGACCCAAGGGCCCACGTTGAGCATCACTGATCTAAGTAATTTTTATCGTTACTATCCTTTCCAGTCCCTGTTCAGCCATCCATTTACACTAGCTCTTTAGGTAAGTGATAATGGTTCTCCACAACTTCCTATCCTTTGTAGCTCTAAGTAATGTTTATTTCCTTACTATCCTTCTCAGTCCCTCTTCTGACATCAATTTACACAATCTCTTTAGGTAGGTGATAATGGTACTCCAAAATTTTCTATCTTTTCTAGCTCAAAGTAATGCTTTTTTCTCTTACTATCCATCCCAGTACCTGTTCTGGCGCCCGTTTACACAAATTCGTAAGTAGGTTACCCGGAGTTTCCATCTGTCCCTTCTGCTTTCAGTATGTCCCTTGAGTGTCAAATTCTTCAAACCTTCTTTCCTCATTATGTGTTTCAGAAGTTTCAACTGTCTCTTTCTGATCCTTTTTGTTTTCTTTTTTCCTTAAAAGTTCCTCTTTACTCACATGTTTCGTCCACAGTATTCTTGGCATCCTTCTGTAGAACCACATTTCTGTTGTCTCAAATCTCCTGTTTACTTGTGAAGAAAATGTCCAGCATTCACTACCATAGAATACAGAGGAAAAGAACTTAACACCAGAAATGCTGTGAAACTATACCCTGATCCAATATTTGCCCACCCCTACAGAAATAGGGTGTGACGGTTTAACGGGTGGTGCCCATATGTATACATATGAGCCAAATACTAAAACCTTACGATCACTGTCAGACTGTCGTCGATATCCACCAACCTTCTATAATTTTATTGATTTGTTTTTACGGCTTATCAACCTTTTGCACATTATTTAAAACCGGGAAATATTTTTATATTGCAAGATTTTTTTTTTGAGATTATAATGTTTTACAGGTACAAGTTCTACTAATTAACCCATAGCTGGGGGGAATAGGTGAATTCATACCTTTCCCAAGGGTATTTGCGCGTGTCAGTATAACGAACCCGACTGGAATCCGAACTCAGCTCTCTGATTTCCAATTCCGAATCGTTATCCATTACACCCTACGCGCATCCAAGCTTACAACATCTGGTATTCCCAAGCAGTTGCTCATCAAGGTACTGACCAGGTTCGATGTTGCTTAACTTCGGGGATCGTACGAGAACCGGTGTTTCAACGTGATGCGGCTATAAGCCTTAACCGTTATTGAGGAGAACGAAGGCTATAAAAGAAAAGGATTCAAAGAGACAGAAAGTGACGATTGACGTCGCATTTGAATTTTTGAAGATCGTAGTTGACAAGAAAGAAGAGAGTTCCACAGTCGAGAAGTGCAAGGGAAGAAACTATTTGCATAAAACTTACGGTTACACTTAGCAATTTCAACTGTAAAATGATGAGACCTAGCGGTAGTACTTTGCTTAAATTCTTGAAGATGAGGAAGCAAAGAGGAAAGCTCATCAATGCAACTGCCATGAAAATATAGAAAAAGCAGAGGAAAACTGTTGGCGTCCACCGGGGCTTGGCTCCCCTCATTACAGAACTGCGGCTATGGAATACGGCAGTGGAGAAGAACAGATACACCACTTTGATCTGAGTCTGAAGACCGGGAAAAAGGGAGGTCGGTATTTATCCCGTCCCGCATCCCATGGTGTGGTCGATTTACATATATAAATGGTCAAGAGACAAAAATTGCATAGTTTTCAAGACCATTGTCACGCTGGCTCTAGTATCCATCCTCTTTAGTACATTGAGGGAAGTGGTGACACAGAACTGGAATACCTGTGACTAGTCTTCCCTGATTACAAAATTCTAAATTGCCCAAAGGTAGAAATGCCGATACATACGTAATTAATAGCCATTTTTAACACCGTGGAGTAATGGATAGCAATTCGGAATCGGAGAGCCGAGTTCGAATTCCACTCGAATCCATTACATTCACTTACGTTGGGAAAGGTATGAATCCTCTGCTTCTTCCTCCAGCTATGGGTAAATAGCAGGACAGACCGGTTTCTGTAGGCTTGGATGGCAACTGGTCAACCGCAGAAAGAAATGGCAACCTACTGCGGGAAAAAGATCTGCCTTAAAACGATCTCTATTAAAATTAATTAATTATTATTTATATATATATATATATATATATATATATATATATATATATATATATATATATATATATATATATATATATATATATATATATATATATCATACATATATATATATATATATATATATATATATATATATATATATATATATATATATATATATATATATATATATATATATATATATATATATATATGACTACAGATTATAGTTTATGGACGTTAATGGTTGCCCGAATATTTTTTCATTCTCTCTCTTCAATTATGAACTGAAAAGCCGAAACTATCTCTACTCTCTTCCTTCTCCACATCGACCGCCATTACTGCTACCATAACCGCATATATAACTTTAGTAATATTTTCCCTATTCAAGGTATGAAAGCGGAGGAGAAAAAAGAAAGACAGATAGATTACAAGAGAAAAAGTAGAGGGTGGCTGCTTGACCACGGACACACCCTGATAAATGATTCTTTTTTTTTCCCCGTTATTTCTCAACCTCTCTCTCGCAAAACGCTTGTATTCGGCATCTTTACATTAACGGCAAAGCTTACTGTTTAAATACCTCTACAGCAAAAAGAAAATATTGTCTTAAACTATTTTTTTTCTTTAAGTGAAAAAAGAAAGAATTTTGTACAATATTCCGTTTGTATCGGTTTGGATTCTTCACTTATTTTCCCACGGTCTATTTTCGATATTAACGTTCAAATTTATTCCGTTCATCACTTAAGTGACATTAAGTGTTTATGCATCATCATATCGTATTATCTTTGAAAACAAATTTTTATAAGTTTACAATTCTACTGCCAGAGCTATTAACCCCTAAACATTCGTATTACAGTATTTGAAAAATATTAAATTATAATCACTTTAGCTAATATACAATGGAAACAGACAATTTATTAAAGATATTAATTCTTACTTGATCCCTAAACAGAATTTTAGAAAGTTAAATTGTTTTCATCATTTTAAAACAGCACTGCTTTCTGCTAGTATTTGCAGTTTCCTGAATATTTTAGTCTGGCTTTAAACTCTTCTGGAAAATTCTTTTCGGAAACAAAATGATTTTCATGGATTATTCCACAAGTATTTTCTTTTCTAGATGATATTTTGAGACAAGTATTTGAAAAAAAAAAGGAAAGAAAAAAAAGAAGCTTTTTGAACAGTCGCTGTCCTTGAATTGTTTTAACTTCTTTCAAGGAGTATTGATTTATTACAAACTGTAGATCACATTTGAACCGCCTTCTTTCTATCAACGCAAAATTCGACGAGACAAAAGTCCTTTTTTTTTTGGGTCATGGGATGTTTAAACATTACGAGAGCCATTACAGTCAGGATACTGTTTGCCTGTCATGGACTAATATCAATTTGGCGACTCTACGATGTTACCAAGGATCATCGTTTTTGGTATTTGGCAACAACTTTGGTTGGATTAGGCATAGAAACAGCCATCACTGTTTTCAAAAAGGATGGAAAAGAATGGAAATGGTAAGAAATTTTAAATTTCTTTTAAAATTCAAAAAAAAAAAAAATCTTTAGATTGAAATATTTTTGTTTCTATAAAGATTATATCTAATTTTTTGTTTTCTGAATATCGTGATTAGAAATGAATACTTCACTACACACATAATTGCGTACGGCCTTGTATGTATACACACGCACACATGCATACGCATTTTAAGTCTCTATTATTCTCATATATATATTTGTTAGCGTGTGCTTGTGATAGATAGATACATAGATGTGGTTGCGTGTGTGCCTTTGCTGCTTTTTTTATGGGTTTACACGCACGCACACAAACACACAGATGCTGAAAAGTCCTCGATACGAACCACCTCCCAAAATTTGCACAAATGACTAAACATCAAAATTGTTATTTTAAATAACTTCCTCGTCGATCTATCTATCTATCTATCTATCTATCTATCTATATATATATATATATATATATATATATATATATATATTATTGATCAAACGATCTCGATCGAGTTCAAAGTTTTGCAGAATATTTTTCATTGGAATCAGAGGGTTTGATATATATATATATATATATATATATATATATATGTGTGTGTGTGTGTGTGTGTGTTCTTGTGTGTGTGTGTTCGTGTGTGTGTGTATGTGACATTTGAACGATGTATAAAATTTAGATATCAAATACTGTAAACAGCGTTCCGAAGTCATATTTTCTTTATTAATTCTTTCGATATCTAGGCCGGTAGACATTAATTTCTCTTTTTTAAAAAAACAAAACAGGTATATCTACTCGGACACCTGTACCCACTAAATATAATGTATATATATATATATATATATATATATATATATATAAAACTGGTAAATAGTTATGATATATATATAAATATATATATATGTGTGTGTGTTCTTTATATATATATATATATATATATATATATATATATATATATAAACTGGTAAACAGTTATGATATATATATATATATATATATATATATATATATATATATATATATAAAAAAGAACAGTAAGATATATAATCCGATGTTCTTATAGATATTTTTATTTTTACAAAATAGTGCACAATGTAAATTTACAGAGCATTAATATTACAAATTAATTGATTTAAAATATGGTTTTTCCGCTACACAGTTCTAACCATGTTTCAAAAATGGAAGGTAAAAGCTTCGAATTTAATTCGCTTGAGGATGAAATGGAACTAATGTCTTTAATTTAATTACAAAATTAAATTCGAAGCTTTTAGTGTAGAGGTAAAACCATATTTTAAATCAATCAATTTATAATATATATATATATATATATATATATATATATATATATATATATATATATATATAATAGCTGTTTACCAGTTTAAAGAAAGAATAAATATTCGTTTCTTGTCAGGGGGGAAATGTTTATTTGGAAGTTCGATTTCTAGGCCGGCAGGCATTAATTTCACTGTTTAAAAAAACACGTATACCCACTAAATATAACGTTTAAAATAATAGGAAATAATGCTGGATTTTAAAAAAATCTATTAATTACTTATATATATATTTATATTGAAGCCAAACTAACAGTGTTCTGCAAAATTTTGAAGTTGGTCGAGAGATAAGTCTCTTTCTCTCTCTGTCTCTCTGTCTCTCTCTCTCTCTCTCTCTCTATATATATATATATATATATATATATATATATATATATATAGTTTACTTAGCTTACTAAAAGCAAAATCGGCAAATAAAAAACAGGCAGACAACTTCCAATGTAACGATACAAATAGAAATATCAAAATAAAACGTACCTTAATTTGAAAAGACACTCAGTCAGACTTAAAGTAAATCCGAGGCAAAATAATTTATGAAAATAAAATAAATTCTAAGCAAGAGCAGGAATATAAACCAGTAATATCCAAAGACACTACTCTGCCGTGACTAAACGTTTCACACAATAAATGATCTTCAGACGGTTCAGAGACCAGTGTACTGTTTTTGATATTTCTGATATATATATATATATATATATATATATATATATATATATATATATATATATATATATATATGTATGTATGTTTGTGTGCTCTTGTTTTGTACACGTTATCGCACGCACACAGACACAGATCTAATTATGCACCGGTTTTGTCCACGCGCACCCCGACACACACCTGCACGGGTTTGTGTATGTTTGCCTGCAAGATGTTTTATGCCGATTGGGAACATTTACTAATCGAAAGAAGTCTTTTTGTCGTTAAATTTTACTTTAATTATTTCTTTGGTGAAATTCGGAAATGATTTCAATATAAAAAGCCATGGTCATCATCATCATCATCATCATTATCATCATCATATTTCGAATTTCAAAATTCCATGCTTTCTTCGAAAATATGATTAATAAATTCTCATCTAGGATGTTATTTCTTTAACCATTTTATCGCTCATTGTGTCGCTAATGGAATATACTTTTTAAGATATGTTTTTTGTTTTATTTTTTATACCAGACGAGAATGAATTTTGATTGTAAACTAAATGAAATAAATAATAAAGGCTAAAAATACAATATTTGTTAACACATCGTATTAAAAGACAATCAATTCTCTTCTGGTATAAAAACATCCCTTACAATATGCTCCACTAGTACAAAGAGATTAATTTCACAATATTTGGCAATGTGTTGATTGAAGTTGTCGAGAATATGTTTACCAACTCTCTAAAATGGAAATTCAGGACAGGATGCTGTTTTTTCTCATTAAAAGGCTTAGAGGACTCTGAATCCGTTTCAACCACGGGGTTTGCGGTCCGATCCAGAAGCAGTTTCTAACGCGGAGTCCACAGAACCAAAAAGCTATTTTTGTTTAATCAGTTCACTCCAAGCAAGGTGATAATGCCACTAAGACGCAAGGGGGCTACTGATCACCTTTTCTCTGAATTTCTGGGATGAAGACTTATCCTTGTTTATATTATTGACATGCAGAATATTGTCCTTAACTTTTATTTTAACTTGTGAGGTCGTATCGAATCTCGTCGCGAATTGATATGTCCCGGAAAGGGATATATTTGTTCAAAGTAGCAAAGTGGTTGTTGACTACTGTAACCGGGTAGGACAATCTAGCAGATAACCGTAATAGACTGGTCCTCGTCGTAGTGGTAGGCAATAGGCGTAGCCAATAGGCGAAGACAATAGGCGTAGTCCATGTACCTCCACATCAGTCTGTATTTATGGCTGACACCAGCCAATCATATTACTGTGAGGGAGAACCCAGGTGTATGCATATCCATTACATCAACTTCCTTGTTATTAACACCTGATCACCTTCTGTCTAAATTTCTGGGATGAAGAATTATCCTTGTTTATATTACTGACATGAGGAATATTGTCCTTAACTTTGTTGTTATTATCACCTGATCACTTTCTCATAATCTTTCTGTAGAAATATATCTCCTCTTCATCTGTGTGGAAAATGTCCAGCATTCACTGCCATAACTGAGGATTGATATTACATACCAGATTCAGCACAAAATTGTCCTATTTATTAATACATTGGTCACCTTAAGGAAGAAGGCATCTTTCGCTATTCAAATGCGCCTTTGGTTTTCGGTGTCACATTTTTCTTTATCTGCTAAAAGCCTACCCTAGTAGTTAAATTCTCATAATCCTTCTGTAGAAATATATCTCCTCTTCATCTGTGCGGAAAATGTCCAGCATTCACTACCATACATAAAGACTGATATTGTCCTTGATTTTGTTGTTATTAACAACTTATCTTTGTTCATATTATTCACATGAGTATTATTGTCCTTAAATTTGTTGTTATTATCACCTGATCACCTTTTGTCTGAATTTCAGGGGTGAAGACTTATCCTTGTTTATATTACTGACATGCGGAATATTGTCATTAAATTTGTTGTTATTAACACCTGACCAACTTCTGTCTGAATTTCTGGGATGATAAGTTAACCTTGTTTATATTATTGACATGCGGAATATTGTCCTTGACTTTTTTGTTACTATCGCCTGATAAGCTTCTGTCTGGATTTTTGGTATGAAGACTTATCCTTATTTATATTATCTATAAGTGGGCTAATGTCATTGTCTTCGCCCCACGGGGTAATGGCCAAGTTGGACAAAAAAAAAAAAAAAAAAAAAAAAAAAGGGTTTCACAATCGAGAACTACTGAGAGAAGAAACTCTTAGAATAGAACTTACGGTTACATATATTTTAGGTTACATGTGTTCATTTAGTCTGTACATCTATGCGAATATCAGTGTATCATTTTGACACACTTTTTTTTAACTTTACTCCTAGAATACAATATATCGTACAATTTTGGAATCTGGCCGACTCCATGAAATTAAAAAATTAAAAATATTCCGGACATGATCCGGATTCGCAATCCTGAAACTTTGATTCCCAAGTTTTCATTACTACGATTGTTTTCGGATTCTACCATCTTGGCTTCTACTGATAAAAACAATTAAAGGGACACAATTCTCTAACTTTCAATAGCTCATGTTCAAATGAAAAAATTACTGTTCTCAAATTACAATGTTTAAAATTAAAATTGTCCGTGTTTTCAACCTTACTCTTAGAGGACGTAGCCCAACATATCATACAATTTTGGAATCAGGCCGACTCTATGAGCAAATAAAAAACATCCCGGGTCGGATCTGGACCTGCAATCTTGAAATTTAGGATTCCCAAGTTTTCACTACTGCAATTATTTACGGCGATTTTTTGACGTGATTCTTGCGACGAATTTTTTTTTGTATGATAACAATTTTTATAACATGGAAATAAATTTGTGAATAATCGAAATTAATTGCGAAATCCAGCGAGATTCACTCATAAGATAAAAATAATTGTTTGTACGGAAAGTAAGGACCTACGGACATCAAATTGTCTTTAAATTAACTGGCGGCAGAAGAATTATCATTGAACTTTTAAAAGGTAAGTTTAAATATTGATTCAATACTTAAAGACAGCGATCAATTTTGAGTCTTCTGTAGTTTATTGATGCCTATCGCGTCTACTCTTCCCTACCTAGTGTGATGAAGGCCCAATTAAGAGCCCTCTGCAAAAGCTAGTTTAAATGCCGCCCAGTACGATTGAAGATTTTAAACTTGTTTTTATCGAGTTCAACTCATTGAAAAATGGTTTCATACGTATGAATTCTTTAGGTTATAATAAAGATAGATACTATAGACTGGCGCTACAGAACCACAGACAAAGAGCTTTACCAAGTAATAAAAATCACATCGCTTGAACAACTGAAATTGTTAGAACATATAAAAAGAAGAGAAAATAATGACATAATCAAGATTGGCTACTGGGTCTCATTTGTTTTACTGCTGAAATAACTAGATGTAACCGTAAGTTCTATTCTACTCATTTCTTTTCTCGAACTTCTTGCCAGTGGAACTCTCTTCCCGTTTCTGTCTTCCCTTCCACCTACGATCGTCAAAAATTTATCGCCTTCTCCTGTCTTCCCGAATGTTGTACTCCCCCCCCCCACTAAAGTCTCCTCGTCCTCATTGACTCTCAATAACCGTTGACCTCTTAGTGGCATTATCATCTTGTTTGGAGAGAAATGATGTTGACTTTCCACATTAAACACAAGTTTAATGTGGAAAGTCAACAAGAACCTACTTCCCAAAATGTGACCGTGTTATATAGGAATAAAGTGTCTCTGCCGACACTTGCGTTTGAACATAGATCGCCAGTGAGCAAACATAGGCGATCCCATTATTGAATTAAATGGATCACGTGACCATAAAGAAACGCATATATAGGAAGTTGCGAGGTCCAGACTGATCTCCAATTTTAGCCTATCCTCTATTACTATTTGGATCACCATTTCTACTCTATTCTCTATTTCACTATACGGATTACTGTTCGAGCTAGTATTATCGAGTATTATCTACTAGTGCGAGTGTTATTCAAAGGCGTCTGACACCAGTATTGTTCGACGGCGTTACTATAGTTGTATCTGCGATTACAAAGTCTCTACTGCAACAGGCATTACAAAAGTGACAACGATTATTCGTTGGTATCACAAAAGTGGCAACCGAGTGTTCGATGACATCACAAAAGACTGAATATCATTTTTTCTTTAGCAGACTGAGAAGTTAGCATCCACTTGTATATAAAGCATTTGCACCTTTTTAATTACAGCTAAATGGTATGTGTGTGTGTGTGTGTGTGTGATTCTAATACCCTTGGGAAATGTATTAATCCACCTTTCCTTTCGAAGCTATGGGTACATAGAACAGGCTGGGTTCTATATTCTTTGGGTGGCGAATAGTCTCGAGGGACAACCCTGAATTCAAACCCTGCTGAGGCTCGTTTGGGGACCTTGTGGCATACTGTGCACCAGGTTACTCTATTTGGCTCTTCCAAAAAGTGTGGTTGGTTCTGCACAAGCCTTTACCACTATAATCGAATCAAATGTGCAGGTAGTCTGACTGTTGGTTTTAACAACTGAGCTGCTTGACCCTCATATGTGGAAAACAACGGAAGAGTCCACTGTATATGATAGATAGATAGATAGATAGATAGATAGATAGATAGATAGATAGATAGATATATACAGACTGAGATATGAAGACAGATATGGTATGGCTTCAAACTGATAAATACTATCAATCATAGCAGTTGATCATTCATCACACCCAATAAATTGTTGCTGCAAAAGCACGAATGAAAAGCTTTACCAAATAACAAAAACCACATCTCTTGAACACTTTCAACAGCAGCAATAATCGTTGGGTAGCATATGCAACTAGAAAATAATATAATAAAGATGTTGACTTTCCACATCACAAAAAAGGGGTGGGGGATTCCCATTAATATTGGAAAGAGCTATAACATTTAGTGGACTTGAGATGACTAATTTCCTGAAAAAACTGTTAAGAGAATGATTTTATAAATTTCTACTGGCAGTATTATTGTTCGGTCAATGAATGTGGAATTGTCCCTGTATAAGAATGGCTAGGTTGACCATATCATTTTAACTCTTTAGCATTCAGCACAACCAAACCCACCTCAATGTTCAACCCGATGTAATCCACCACATGTATACTCTGGCATAATATGTGATGGCATCATCGCAAATAACGCGCAAAGTGAGACTTTGACCACAAACAGTGAGAGCCGATATTTACGTGTCGGCTTTGAACGTGTTGAATATATATATATATATATATATATATATATATATATATATATCATTATTCGATTGTTCGGTTCATTTTTACTGTGACATTCACAAAGTTTCGGCCGTTGTACGCTTCGGGTTTCTTCAGGTGATATTTTTTGAATTTCGAACCGTTTCTGAAGTTTAGTTGGATGTAGACGTTCTTCCTTCTTTGGTTTGTGTAGACATTTTTCCCTTGTTTTTTTTTCTTTTCTTTTCTTTTCCCTGAAATGGGATGACATGTATTATTCACATTTCTGGGTCCCTCAGCAAATTCACTGAGAATCTCTTCCATTTCCTCCACAATTATCAACACTACTTTAGAGTCTCTCTCTCTCTCTCTCTCTCTCTTTCTCTCTCTCTCTCTCTCTCTCTCTCTCTCTCCCCTCTCTCTCTAACACACAAAATACTAGAGGAGGCACGGTGGAGTAATGGATAGCGGCTTGGATTAAGGAATCGCAGAACCGAGTTCGAATTCCAGTCGAATCCATTACATTCACTTACGTGCTAATACCCTTGGGAAAAGTGTGAATCCTCTTCTTCTCCCTCCAACTATGGGTAAATAGCAAGACAGACTGGGTTCTATAGCCTTGGATGGCAACTGGTCTAGAAGAAGGAAAAACTCTGAATTTAAAACCTGCGGAGGGTCGTTTGGGGAGTGCACCAGGTCTCTGTAATCGGCCCTTCAAAAAGTGTGGATGGCCTGCACGAAACCTTCACCACACTATAATCAAATCTCATCAAATGCTATACATGCGGTTGGGAACCGCTTGTGAATTACAAATTCCCATGAAACTCCAATATTGGAGCCTCGGGTGAATGCCGTTACAGGTACAGGTACACAAAATACTTCTCCTGAACATGAATAGAATATCCGACCCTGATGGAATAAGGGTGAATCATAGAAATAAAGTCATCTTTGTCTTTTCCATACCCAGTAAGAACTGATGCCTCAATTACATATGGCATCAACCTCTTAACCACCAGTCTGGTGCCATTACAATGTCTTCGTGGATCCAGAATCCATAATAGCATTATAGGCAGTCACGGAGGTTCTAGAGAATTCAGAAATTCCGTTGGATAATTGACCACCTCTTCCGGCTCTGGAATGGTATCCACTGACCCGTAGATATGTTTTCGAGATGGACTGTAACAGTTGGTCATTGGTTGTGTTAACTGTTTTGTTCTTTGGAGCCAGTATTGCCCTCTCACATAACAAGTTGTAGTTTTTGTAATTATGTTGGAGGTTTTGGAAAACCTTGGCCTTAAGCTCATCAGCAGTACTGACAACATTGTAAACCGGGCTAATTGTCTTCTATCCATTGACATCTAAAGGTATGTTGCCATTGCTAAGTCTCAAAATGAGATACCCAAGATGACAGCTGATCTCCAAATAATTGTGCTCTCATGTTGATGCTCAGAGTCAACGTTAGAATATGTAGCCACAACGGAGAAGATTTGAGACATACTCTGACTTTATCAGCTCTGGTCCCTTTTGGTATGACCGGCAGTGTTTGCCTAAAGTCTCCAGATAGCAGGAGTGTTATACCTGTCATAGGCGACTGAGAATGCCTAATGTCTCTCATGGTTCAGTCCAATGTTTTAGAGGTGCCCTGTGTGCCATGATACATTCATCCCATCCGATGAACCTGCACCTTTTTAGCACTTGGGCCAATTCAGAGGTTTTGCTGATATCACAAATTGGATTATCAGATGAAGTCCAATGGAAGCTTAAAAGATGAATGTGCAGTTTGGCCACCAGGCAGCACAGTTGCTGCAATACCAGATGAGGTTACTGCCAAAGATATATCCTTGTGCTGTCAAACTTTGGCCAAAAGCAACTTAATAACAAATGTCTTTTCTGTCCCTCCAGGTGCATCTAGGAAGAACATTCCACTTTTTGAGAAGCAAAAACTATCAACAAGTGTCAAAAGGTCTCCTTTGGTCCAGAAGCAACTTTTGCTCATTTTCATCAACATATGCACACGGGACATTGATGTCATAGGATGTTTCTCCCGGCATCTCTGTAGGTAAGGCAGCGGTCCCAGTTCGATGAGTTTTAGCCATATGTCGGTAACACATTCCCTCCCATAGAAACGACATAGTTTTCTATAATGATTAAAACCATCTTGTAAATTTCATCACTGAAATCTGTTTTCATACCTGGAAATTAGAGTTGGGCTTGGTGCTTAAAGTCTTCAGATAAACTGTCCCTATACTTATGATACAGAGAGGCAGGATAACTTACTTTGCATGTTTGCAATAGGACTGCACAGAGTGACCTAAGATTACCAGGGGATTGTGACACAATAGCCTCAGTCATTGTTGCATACCACTGGTTCTCATTAAGCAAACCTACTCAAGTATGCTTCTCGGTAGATCGTACAAACCAGTCCATTTACATTTTTAAGATCCTGGAAGGATGTTGGGCCTCGGACTACATGAAGAAGGAGACGGAGATAAAAATCATTCATGTTGGCTGGGATGTACACTGTACTCTCTACCGAGGCAATGCCAGGGTGATCCGGTACATCTTGGCCCATCAATATACGCTCCCATTCCTTTTTGCTTTTCCATACATAATAAGATGGCACTTGGGAGTACAAAAATGTGCAGGCAAAAGGATCATGTTGGCACAGTTTGAAGGAAGTTGTGAGTGCAGTATCATTGAGTGTGTGCGCTACCTGAACAGCATTTGCTTCAATGAAGTAGATACGTGGACCGTTTTCCAAATGTACTGCAAGTTTCACAATAGCCGGGTGTCTTTTATGTAGTGGGAAGCCTATTTTCCTGCTGCAAGCCAAACATGGCCGCATCTGATCCCTTCTTGACGTATCGCAAGCATACTTGATGGATGTCACGTAATTGTAGAACCCAATATTAATATGGGCATTAAATGTCTTTGACAGCAAGGGACAATTGGTTACTATCCATCGGTTTTTAATCTTATGTTGTCCAAATTTTTCTAAAAACCCACCATAATCTGTGCTTTTACGCCTGTAAAAAGGCTATCTGTCATCACCAGTTTATGTTTCCGTAAGAAATCTCTTGGCGAAACTTTTTTGAGCATACATTTTTCTTCAGACATCGTGAGCTGAGGTTAGAGCCCCTCCCACATGAACCATGTACCATGTTCCTTTTAACAATTTCATTGAGCTCCTTATCTGTCGATTGATTTGGAAACTGCCGAGATTATCTTGTTAATTTCATTAGAGTGTTTTTTGTTGCCAGCTAAAGCATGTGAGCATGTGGCAGCACCCATTTTTCAACCTCTCAATTTTGCCCATGTCATATTTTACAGACCCAAATGTTTTCCCCTTTTTAATAAGATCTATGAGCTTCTCCAACTTCCGGCGGAAGACTATGGCAAGGAGGTCAAGTCTATCCTTGGCCTTTTGGTATAGAAAAAGTTCGTTTTCAATTTCCTTCCACTTTGAGTTGCATGTAAATGTTATAAAGCGATTTGGCCAACCATAATTGTGTTCATAGGTCATGGTATCCTGCGTCCTTTCATGCATGTATCGAGGCCCTTCTGTAAAGCTTGATGATAGAATGCAGAGATGTCCAAGATTACCATGTGCTGCATCATTGCTTATGGCATCTGTCAGTATAATTCTCCGATCGCAGTTGCTTTTGATTATGTCTAATGAAACACAGCCTCTCAGACTCCATTTTAGCAGCCATATCAACTGCATATTGATGAAAGAAATCCCGAGAGTGATGAAGATGTTTGAATGAGTTGCCACTCGTTATAAAATGGTGCGCATAGGAATCCTTACACGATACTTCTTTGTTTAACAAACCCTCCGGATTACGATTATTAATACCAAAATGGTAACTATCGTCCCCATTAACGAATAGCAGAGGATACTGAAGGATATCAAAAGATCTATGTGTCTCATTAATTCGTTGAAGGGTGTTGCCTCGTTGCTTTAGAACAATATCACTTTTGTTATTTTGGTCACCATGGAGAACCACCGCTATTTCATTGCAGGAGGGTACGTTAAACCATCCCGGATGCTGTCCAATAAGTCGCTTGTCTGTATCAACAGAGGAGTCTCATCTGCCCTGCTAGCAGCAGACCTAGCTCTATTATCTTCTAGTCTTTCGTCTCTTTCGTCATGAATCTCAACTGCCCTGCTAGCAGCAGACCTAGCTCTATTAGCTTCTAGTCTTTCGTCTCTTTCGTCATGAATCTCAACTGCCCTGCTAGCAGCAGACCTAGCTCTATTAGCTTCTAGTCTTTCGTCTCTTTCGTCATGAGTCTCAACTGCCCTGCTAGCAGCAGACCTAGCTCTATTAGCTTCTAGTCTTTCGTCTCTTTCGTCATGAGTCTCAACTGCCCTGCTAGCAGCAGACCTAGCTCTATTAGTCTTTTCTAGTCTTTCGTCTCTTTCGTCATTTCGAGTCTCAACTGCCCTGCTAGCAGCAGACCTAGCTCTATTAGCTTCTAGTCTTTCGTCTCTTTCGTCATGAATCTCAACAGCCCTGCTAGCAGCAGACCTAGCTCTATTAGCTTCTAGTCTTTCGTCTTTCGTCATGAATCTCAACTGCCCTGCTAGCAGCAGACCTAGCTCTATTAGCTTCTAGTCTTTCGTCTCTTTCGTCATGAATCTCAACTGCCCTGCTAGCAGCAGACCTAGCTCTATTAGCTTCTAGTCTTTCGTCTCTTTCGTCATGAGTCTCAACTGCCCTGCTAGCAGCAGACCTAGCTCTATTAGCTTCTAGTCTTTCGTCTCTTTCGTCATGAATCTCAACTGCCCTGTTAGCAGCAGACCTAGCTCTATTAGCTTCTAGTCTTTCGTCTCTTTCGTCATGAATCTCAACTGCCCTGCTAGCAGCAGACCTAGCTCTATTAGCTTCTAGTCTTTCGTCTCTTTCGTCATGAATCTCAACTGCCCTGCTAGCAGCAGACCTAGCTCTATTAGCTTCTAGTCTTTCGTCTCTTTCGTCATGAATCTCAACTGCCCTGCTAGCAGCAGACCTAGCTCTATTAGCTTCTAGTCTTTCGTCTCTTTCGTCATGAGTCTCAACTGCCTGCTAGCAGCAGACCTACCTCTATTAGCTTCTAGTCTTTCGTCTCTTTCGTCATGAATCTCAACTGCCCTGCTAGACCTAGCAGACCTTCTCTTTCGTCTTTCAACTGCCCTGCCACCAGCTAGTCTTTATTAGCTTCTAGTCTTTTGTTTCGTCATGAGTCTCAACTGCCCTGCTAGCAGCAGACCTAGCTCTATTAGCTTCTAGTCTTTCGTCTCTTTCGTCATGAGTCTCAACTGCCCTGCTAGCAGCAGACCTAGCTCTATTAGCTTCTAGTCTTTCGTCTCTTTCGTCATGAGTCTCAACTGCCCTGCTAGCAGCAGACCTAGCTCTATTAGCTTCTAGTCTTTCGTCTCTTTCGTCATGAGTCTCAACTGCCCTGCTAGCAGCAGACCTAGCTCTATTAGCTTCTAGTCTTTCGTCTCTTTCGTCATGAGTCTCAACTGCCCTGCTAGCAGCAGACCTAGCTCTATTAGCTTCTAGTCTTTCGTCTCTTTCGTCATGAGTCTCAACTGCCCTGCTAGCAGCAGACCTAGCTCTATTAGCTTCTAGTCTTTCGTCTCTTTCGTCATGAGTCTCAACTGCCCTGCTAGCAGCAGACCTAGCTCTATTAGCTTCTAGTCTTTCGTCTCTTTCGTCATGAGTCTCAACTGCCCTGCTAGCAGCAGACCTAGCTCTATTAGCTTCTAGTCTTTCGTCTCTTTCGTCATGAATCTCAACTGCCCTGCTAGCAGCAGACCTAGCTCTATTAGCTTCTAGTCTTTCGTCTCTTTCGTCATGAGTCTCAACTGCCCTGCTAGCAGCAGACCTAGCTCTATTAGCTTCTAGTCTTTCGTCTCTTTCGTCATGAATCTCAACTGCCCTGCTAGCAGCAGACCTAGCTTCTATTAGCTTCTAGTCTTTCGTCTCTTTCGTCATGAATCTCAACTGCCCTGCTAGCAGCAGACCTAGCTCTATTAGCTTCTAGTCTTTCGTCTCTTTCGTCATGAGTCTCAACTGCCCTGCTAGCAGCAAACCTAGCTCTATTGGCTTCTAGTCTTTCGTCTCTTTCGTCATGAATCTCAACTGCCCTGCTAGCAGCAGACCTAGCTCTATTAGCTTCTAGTCTTTCGTCTCTTTCGTCATGAATCTCAACTGCCCTGCTAGCAGCAGACCTAGCTCTATTAGCTTCTAGTCTTTCGTCTCTTTCGTCATGAGTCTCAACTGCCCTGCTAGCAGCAGACCTAGCTCTATTAGCTTCTAGTCTTTCGTCTCTTTCGTCATGAATCTCAACTGCCCTGCTAGCAGCAGACCTAGCTTTATTAGTTTCTAGTCTTTCGTCTCTTTCGTCATGGGTCTCAACTGCCCTGCTAGCAGCAGACCTAGCTCTATTAGCTTCTAGTCTTTCGTCTCTTTCGTCATGAATCTCAACTGCCCTGCTAGCAGCAGACCTAACTCTATTAGCTTCTAGTCCTTTGTCTCTTTCGTCATGAATCTCAACTGCCCTGCTAGCAGCAGACCTAGCTCTATTAGCTTCTAATCTTTCGTCTCTTTCGTCATGAATCTCAACTGCCCTGCTAGCAGCAGACCTAACTCTATTAGCTTCCAGTCCTTCGTCTCTTTCGTCATGAATCTCAACTGCCCTGCTAGCAGCAGACCTAGCTCTATTAGCTTCTAGTCTTTCGTCTCTTTCGTCATGAGTCTCAACTGCCCTGCTAGCAGCAGACCTAGCTCTATTAGCTTCTAGTCTTTCGTCTCTTTCGTCATGAATCTCAACTGCCCTGCTAGCAGCAGACCCTAGCTCTATTAGCTTCTAGTCTTTCGTCTCTTTCGTCATGAGTCTCAACTGCCCTGCTAGCAGCAGACCTAGCTCTATTAGCTTCTAGTCATTCGTCTCTTTCGTCATGAGTCTCAACTGCCCTGCTAGCAGCAGACCTAGCTCTATTAGCTTCTAGTCTTTCGTCTCTTTCGTCATGAATCTCAACTGCCCTGCTAGCAGCAGACCTAGCTCTATTAGCTTCTAGTCTTTCGTCTCTTTCGTCATGAATCTCAACTGCCCTGCTAGCAGCAGACCTAGCTCTATTAGCTTCTAGTCTTTCGTCTCTTTCGTCATGAGTCTCAACTGCCCTGCTAGCAGCAGACCCTAGCTCTATTAGCTTCTAGTCTTTCGTCTCTTTCGTCATGAGTCTCAACTGCCCTGCTAGCAGCAGACCTAGCTCTATTAGCTTCTAGTCTTTCGTCTTTCTTTCGTCATGAATCTCAACTGCCCTGCTAGCAGCAGACCTAACTCTATTAGCTTCTAGTCCTTTGTCTCTTTCGTCATGAATCTCAACTGCCCTGCTAGCAGCAGACCTAGCTCTATTAGCTTCTAGTCTTTCGTCTCTTTCGTCATGAATCTCAACTGCCCTGCTAGCAGCAGACCCTACTCTATTAGCTTCTAGTCCTTTGTCTCTTTCGTCATGAATCTCAACTGCCCTGCTAGCAGCAGACCTAGCTCTATTAGCTTCTAGTCTTTCGTCTCTTTCGTCATGAATCTCAACTGCCCTGCTAGCAGCAGACCTAACTCTATTAGCTTCTAGTCCTTTGTCTCTTTCGTCATGAATCTCAACTGCCCCTGCTAGCAGCAGACCTAGCTCTATTAGCTTCTAGTCTTTCGTCTCTTTCGTCATGAATCTCAACTGCCCTGCTAGCAGCAGACCTAACTCTATTAGCTTCTAGTCCTTTGTCTCTTTCGTCATGAATCTCAACTGCCCTGCTAGCAGCAGACCTAGCTCTATTAGCTTCTAGTCTTTCGTCTCTTTCGTCATGAATCTCAACTGCCCTGCTAGCAGCAGACCTAGCTCTATTAGCTTCTTCTAGTCTTTCGTCTCTTTCGTCATGAATCTCAACTGCCCTGCTAGCAGCAGACCTAGCTCTATTAGCTTCTAGTCCTTTGTCTCTTTCGTCATGAATCTCAACTGCCCTGCTAGCAGCAGACCTAGCTCTATTAGCTTCTAGTCTTTCGTCTCTTTCGTCATGAATCTCAACTGCCCTGCTAGCAGCAGACCTAGCTCTATTAGCTTCTAGTCTTTCGTCTCTTTCGTCATGAATCTCAACTGCCCTGCTAGCAGCAGACCCTAGCTCTATTAGCTTCTAGTCTTTCGTCTCTTTCGTCATGAATCTCAACTGCCCTGCTAGCAGCAGACCTAGCTCTATTAGCTTCTAGTCTTTCGTCTCTTTCGTCATGAATCTCAACTGCCCTGCTAGCAGCAGACCTAGCTCTATTAGCTTCTAATCTTTCGTCTCTTTCCTTATGAATCTCAACTGCCCTGCTAGCAGCAGACCTAGCTCTATTAGCTTCTAGTCTTTCGTCTCTTACGTCATGAATCTCAACTGCCCTGCTAGCAGCAGACCTAACTCTATTAGCTTCTAGTCTTTCGTCTCTTTCGTCATGAATCTCAACTGCCCTGCTAGCAGCAGACCTAACTCTATTAGCTTCTAGTCCTTTGTCTCTTTCGTCATGAATCTCAACTGCCCTGCTAGCAGCAGACCTAGCTCTATTAGCTTCTAGTCTTTCGTCTCTTTCGTCATGAATCTCAACTGCCCTGCTAGCAGCAGACCTAATTCTATTAGCTTCTAGTCCTTTGTCTCTTTCGTCATGAATCTCAACTGCCCTGCTAGCAGCAGACCTAACTCTATTAGCTTCTAGTCTTTTGTCTCTTTCGTCATGAGTCTCAACTGCCCTGCTAGCAGCAGACCTAGCTCTATTAGCTTCTAGTCTTTTGTCTCTTTCGTCATGAGTCTCAACTGCCCTGCTAGCAGCAGACCTAGCTCTATTAGCTTCTAGTCCTTTGTCTCTTTCGTCATGAATCTCAACTGCCCTGCTAGCAGCAGACCTAGCTCTATTAGCTTCTAGTCTTTCGTCTCTTTCGTCATGAATCTCAACTGCCCTGCTAGCAGCAGACCTAACTCTATTAGTGCTTCTAGTCTTTTCGTCTCTTTCGTCATGAATCTCAACTGCCCTGCTAGCAGCAGACCCTAACTCTATTAGCTTCTAGTCCTTTGTCTCTTTCGTCATGAATCTCAACTGCCCTGCTAGCAGCAGACCTAGCTCTATTAGCTTCTAGTCTTTCGTCTCTTTCGTCATGAATCTCAACTGCCCTGCTAGCAGCAGACCCTAACTCTATTAGCTTCTAGTCCTTTGTCTCTTTCGTCATGAATCTCAACTGCCCTGCTAGCAGCAGACCTAGCTCTATTAGCTTCTAGTCTTTCGTCTCTTTCGTCATGAATCTCAACTGCCCTGCTAGCAGCAGACCTAACTCTATTAGCTTCTAGTCCTTTCGTCTCTTTCGTCATGAATCTCAACTGCCCTGCTAGCAGCAGACCCTAACTCTATTAGCTTCTAGTCCTTTGTCTCTTTCGTCATGAATCTCAACTGCCCTGCTAGCAGCAGACCTAGCTCCTATTAGCTTCTAGTCTTTGTCTCTTTCGTCATGAATCTCAACTGCCCTGCTAGCAGCAGACCTAGCTCTATTAGCTTCTAGTCTTTCGTCTCTTTCGTCATGAATCTCAACTGCCCTGCCAGACCTAGCTCCTATTAGCTTCTAGTCTTTCGTCCTCTTTAGCTCTATTCTCAACTGCCTTGCTCAGACCTAGTCTATTAGCTTCTAGTCTTTCGTCTTTTCGTCATGAATCTCAACTGCCCTGCTAGCAGCAGACCTAACTCTATTAGCTTCTAGTCCTTTGTCTCTTTCGTCATGAATCTCAACTGCCCTGCTAGCAGCAGACCTAGCTCTATTAGCTTCTAATCTTCGTCTCTTTCGTCATGAATCTCAACTGCCCTGCTAGCAGCAGACCTAACTCTATTAGCTTCTAGTCCTTTGTCTCTTTCGTCATGAATCTCAACTGCCCCTGCTAGCAGCAGACCTAGCTCTATTAGCTTCTAGTCTTTCGTCTCTTTCGTCATGAATCTCAACTGCCCTGCTAACGCAGCAGACCCCTAACTCTATTAGCTTCTAGTCCTTTGTCTCTTTCGTCATGAATCTCAACTGCCCTGCTAGCAGCAGACCTAGCTCTATTAGCTTCTAGTCTTTCGTCTCTTTCGTCATGAATCTCAACTGCCCTGCTAGCAGCAGACCTAACTCTATTAGCTTCTAGTCCTTTGTCTCTTTCGTCATGAATCTCAACTGCCCTGCTAGCAGCAGACCTAGCTCTATTAGCTTCTAGTCTTTCGTCTCTTTCGTCATGAATCTCAACTGCCCTGCTAGCAGCAGACCTAACTCTATTAGCTTCTAGTCTTTCGTCTTGCCCTGCTCTTTTCGTCATGAATCTCAACTGCCCTGCTAGCAGCAGACCTAACTCTATTAGCTTCTAGTCCTTTCGTCTCTTTTCGTCATGAATCTCAACTGCCCTGCTAGCAGCAGACCTAGCTCTATTAGCTTCTAGTCTTTCGTCTCTTTCGTCATGAATCTCAACTGCCCTGCTAGCAGCAGACCCTAGTTCTATTAGCTTCTAGTCTTTCGTCTCTTTCGTCATGAATCTCAACTGCCCTGCTAGCAGCAGACCTAGCTCTATTAGCTTCTAGTCTTTTCGTCTCTTTCGTCATGAATCTCAACTGCCCTGCTAGCAGCAGACCTAACTCTATTAGCTTCTAGTCCTTTGTCTCTTTTCGTCATGAATCTCAACTGCCCTGCTAGCAGCAGACCCTAGCTCTATTAGACCTTAACTAGTCTTTCGTCTCTTTCGTCATGAATCTCAACTGCCCTGCTAGCAGCAGACCTAACTCTATTAGCTTCTAGTCCTTTGTCTCTTTCGTCATGAATCTCAACTGCCCTGCTAGCAGCAGACCTAGCTCTATTAGCTTCTAGTCTTTCGTCTCTTTCGTCATGAATCTCAACTGCCCTGCTAGCAGCAGACCCAACTCTATTAGCTTCTAGTCCTTTGTCTCTTTCGTCATGAATCTCAACTGCCCTGCTAGCAGCAGACCTAGCTCTATTAGCTTCTAGTCTTTCGTCTCTTTCGTCATGAATCTCAACTGCCCTGCTAGCAGCAGACCTAACTCTATTAGCTTCTAGTCCTTTGTCTCTTTCGTCATGAATCTCAACTGCCCTGCTAGCAGCAGACCTAGCTCTATTAGCTTCTAGTCTTTCGTCTCTTTCGTCATGAATCTCAACTGTCCTGCTAGCAGCAGACCTAACTCTATTAGCTTCTAGTCCTTTGTCTCTTTCGTCATGAATCTCAACTGCCCTGCTAGCAGCAGACCTAGCTCTATTAGCTTCTAGTCTTTCGTCTCTTTCGTCATGAATCTCAACTGCCCTGCTAGCAGCAGAGACCTACCTAACTCCTATTAGCTTCTAGTCCTTTGTCTCTTTCGTCATGAATCTCAACTGCCCTGCTAGCAGCAGACCTAGCTCTATTAGCTTCTAGTCTTTCGTCTCTTTCGTCATGAATCTCAACTGCCCTGCTAGCAGCAGACCCTAACTCTATTAGCTTCTAGTCCTTTGTCTCTTTCGTCATGAATCTCAACTGCCCTGCTAGCAGCAGACCTAGCTCTATTAGCTTCTAGTCTTTCGTCTCTTTCGTCATGAATCTCAACTGCCCTGCTAGCAGCAGACCCTAAGTCTATTAGCTTCTAGTCCTTTGTCTCTTTCGTCATGAATCTCAACTGCCCTGCTAGCAGCAGACCTAACTCTATTAGCTTCTAGTTGTTTTGTCTCTTTCGTCATGAATCTCAACTGCCCTGCTAGCAGCAGACCTAGCTCTATTAGCTTCTAGTCTTTCGTCTCTTTCATCATGAATCTCAACTGCCCTGCTAGCAGCAGACCTAGCTCTATTAGCTTCTAGTCTTTCGTCTCTTTCGTCATGAATCTCAACTGCCCTGCTAGCAGCAGACCTAACTCTATTAGCTTCTAGTCTTTCGTCTCTTTCGTCATGAATCTCAACTGCCCTGCTAGCAGCAGACCTAGCTCTATTAGCTTCTAGTCTTTCGTCTCTTTCGTCATGAATCTCAACTGCCCTGCTAGCAGCAGACCTAGCTCTATTAGCTTCTAGTCTTTCGTCTCTTTCGTCATGAATCTCAACTGCCCTGCTAGCAGCAGACCTAGTTCTATTAGCTTCTAGTCTTTCGTCTCTTTCGTCATGAATCTCAACTGCCCTGCTAGCAGCAGACCTAGCTCTATTAGCTTCTAGTCTTTCGTCTCTTTCGTCATGAATCTCAACTGCCCTGCTAGCAGCAGACCTAACTCTATTAGCTTCTAGTCCTTTGTCTCTTTCGTCATGAATCTCAACTGCCCTGCTAGCAGCAGACCTAGCTCTATTAGCTTCTAGTCTTTCGTCTCTTTCGTCATGAATCTCAACTGCCCTGCTAGCAGCAGACCTAACTCTATTAGCTTCTAGTCTTTCGTCTCTTTCGTCATGAATCTCAACTGTCCTGCTAGCAGCAGACCTAGCTCTATTAGCTTCTAGTCTTTCGTCTCTTTCGTCATGAATCTCAACTGCCCTGCTAGCAGCCCTGCTAGCAGCCTTCTAGCAGCCTGAAGTATTTCCTGTCTTTGCTCAAGGGTCTCAGCTGCTTTTCGAACAACAGACCTAACTCTTTCCTTATGAATCCTTTCCTGTCTCTGATCTTCTTCAGCCGTCCTTTTTCTTTCGACTCCCTATCTTTCTTCTCTTTGTTCTGATGTTTTAACTACCCGATGTAAAGAGTTTCGTGCACTTTCGGGATACAAATATGTTTCTCTCTGTGTCACGTTATCCTCCATAGCTCTGTTTGGAGAACCCCTTGCATTTGCTTTCTCTTGAGTTGCTAAAAGTCTTGTTCGATGTTGTTCTGTAGTGGCGTGGGGCTTCGGGATTAAAATGAACAGTTGATTTACCCACGCCAAGAAGATTATTGATAGATGGTAATGACAAAGAATACTTAGCTTTTTTGGATAGTTGAAATAAAGTTCCTTGAAATGCCAGGCACTAATATAATCAGCGAATAATTTGACACTGGCGAAAATCTTAATCTTAAACATTTCAATTGACTTTGACGCTTTTTTCTTGTTGATTTAATTTTCTCCTTATTTTATATAAAAAAGGATTTCGCATAGGATCGCTATTTTCTTTTCTTTCTTTTTCTAGGCTCCTGTAAAAAAAATTTTCATTGCTCCCCAAAAAAATTTCACATAAGCTCCCAAATTTCTTTTCGTCTTTTTCCTCAGCTCGCCCGAATTTGAAAGGAGTGAATAAAGGGAGTTATTATTATTTCGTACTCACATTTAGCTTTAAATAAAAGTGTATGTTTATACACATCCAGAAACAATGAAAAATTATTATTTTTTAAATAATGGTCGTTTGCAGATTTTAATAAGCTTTTAGATAGTTTTACTTAATAACAGTACATTGAAACTGAATTTTTAAAAATTTAACAACTTTATAAATTATTGTAATTAAAATTGTAAAAAGTAAACAATTCTTGTAAAAGTGCATTTTTCATTGGAAAATTATTTTGGCTTCAGACAATATTATCCTTAACATATATTATTCATAAAAGCAATTAAAAGCTTTTCTAATTCAATAATGTCTTAGTTTTATTGGATTTTGTATTTTACAATTGAGAGCTGATTTTCGGTAAATGATCGTTCGATTTAATTTGTTTTTATTATTTTTCTTGTTTTTTTTTCCTTTTTATGCGTTATCTGTTATTAATTTGTTTTATTTTTTATCATTTTTTAATTAATTTGTTTTAATATATCATTTACTGTTCTCCGTCAATTTTCCATTATAAAAAGACGTGCGCTCGATCGTTGTACAAGCAGACATGCAGACACACAGACACAATCTTTAAGTGGTTCAAGGAAAATTTCACATAGGCTCACGAATTTGTTTTGTCTTTTTCTTCAGCTCGCCGGTCGATCTCTTTGAACTGAAAGTTTTCTTTTAACTAAAGCGAGAGAATTTCTTTCCTTCTTTATCCTCAGCTCTTGAAAGGAGTGGGTAAAGGGAGTTATTATTTAAAAAGACGTGCGCTCGGTCGTTGTATAAACAAACATACATACAGACAGACACAATCTTTCACACACACACACACACATATATATATATATATATATATATATATATATATATATATATATATATATATGTTTTTTCGTATGATGTGTTTCGTCTTCTAGAACTTCATTGGACTAAAGTGATGTTTACGGTGATGTGATTACACATGTGCATGAAGGAGAGGGGATACTGAAAATTTGAATTTAATTTTTTAAAAAAATACGTTTTGAGTATATAATTTAAATTTTAAATTTAAAAATTCGTCACACAAGATATTTTTCAAAATTGTTTTGATAGATAAAATTTATACATCGTTTTCATTTTATATATATATATATATATATATATATATATATATATATATATATATATATATATATATTTTTCTAATTATATATTCGTCTATAAATGACTAATGCATATTTTTTTAAAAATAAATAAGACTTCACACGACACTTTTTTTGGCTGTCCTCTAACAAACGAAATTTCTTTGGAATTGTTTTTTGACTATCCTATAACTGCTTCCTTCCATAAATGAATCCTGCGCCTTGCACAAAAAGTGGATTTAAGGTCATTAAGTCTGCTTTTTAGCGTCCGGTCTTGTAGAACACATTTCAAAAATTTCTTGGCTCTCAAATTTGACTGAATAGTTATACTAGTAAATAATAATTTTATTTTTTTATTTTTATTTAATATAAATAAGGCCCCATTCCCTGGAAAAATGTCCTACCTTTTATTCCCAGATACTTCTTCCATACAAAAGAATGATTGTCGATTGTGTACGATTTCACCAGCCAACACTGATTGCATTCAGCGTGTTTCCATCTGACAGGTTTTCTTTTTTTTAATTTGATATTTCATATTCAAAAAGAGCATATTTTATTTTTATCCAGGTTTCAGCACTCGCATCAAAAATTAGTATTTGAGAATAATTAGTATATTTGAAAAGCATAAACGCTTTCCCAGTTTGAAATGTGGGAATATTGAAAGAAAGACAACATGAAAGATAGAGCCTAAACTAGTTTAAAATCAAATCATGTTGAAAGCTGTGGGGTCACTCATATTATAGCAGCAGAAATTAGCCTTGTGTTCACGGAGATAAACCATACTTGACAGGAAATAAATCGTACAGAAATAACAGGAAAAGCATGGTAAATTGTATGAGTTCCTACAATTTATTTATATTTTTGTGTGTATTTTTTAAGTTAAAATTGTTTCATGGTACATGTAATAAAGAGAAGTTACTTCGTATTATTACAGCACATATCACAAAGAGAAATCGGACACGTGTTGCCCGTCCCAAGGTTTCTGGCGAAGAGATTGAATTTAACGTCTTTAGGTATTTCCGACAGGAACAATATTTGTTGCATGCTGGGAGTATTTTTATTATTATTTTTTATCCAATTTATTTTAAACAAATTTTAATTTTTAGTGTTTTACTTTATTTTATTTATAATTATTATTATTATTATTTTATATTTTTATATTTCATTTTTATTAATTAATAATAATATTGTCCCAACAAAGCACTGATTTCACTGAGCAGCAAAGTTAAGCAACATCGAATGTGATCAGTATTTAAATGATTGACCATGGAATAGCAGGTACTGTAAGAAACATTTGGCTTCTACCAGATATTTTTAAAAAATATAGAAAATAAATATTTTCCAATTATTTGGACATTACATTTTATAGGCGGAATAAGTATTCTAAAAATTCATGGCTCACGACTGTAAATTATAAGTAGATTACGATAAAATCATATTTTAACTATTTTTTTTTAATCCTTGCACTCCGAGCAAGGCAATAAAGCCACACAAGGGAGTTAGTGTGTGAAAGCATATGTGAAAAAGAAAACACTATTAAGGAGAGAGAACAATAAAAGAACAGGAATTACAAAAGACAGAAGATAACAATTGACATTGAATTTAAATTTTTGAAGATCAAAGTTAACTGAAAAGCAAGAAGCTGGAAGAGAGTTCCGCCATGAAAATATTTATAGAAAAGGCACAGGGAAGCCACGTTACGGCGGTCGGGAAGTTACTGAAACTGAGATGTTTTACTACCGTGATATTTCTGTATAAGGTCATATCGACAAAATATCTCATCAGTCGCTCGAAAACGATCCTTATTTTCACTGCATTCATCGTCATCTCCATACTGTCTTGTCCCACTGAATGATTACCCTTCAGAGTATGGAAGCCCATATTTCGCTAGCTATATTTCGTGAGGAGAAAATTCAGGAATGAAAACATTTCTGGCAAGATACTGCGTCAACCGCCACGAGACAAACTCGCTAACGAAAAACGTTGTCACCACCGGCAGTTCATAAAGAGAAAAAGTTGTTGAACATCAGAGAAGCTTCAATTATTTTTGTATTTTACGGTCTCGGCGTGAGAAACGTTAAATTTACAATGAATTTCAATAGAAGCAAACGATGTAAGAAGAAAGAGGAGGAGGACGAATCAGAAGAAGAAGAAGGGGAAAAGAAGAAAAAAGAAAGAGGAAGAAAGGGAG